CGCCCAGGCCACGCCCCGCGCCCAGGCCACGCCCCGCGCCCAGGCCGGCGTGGTTGAGCCCGGTGCGCCGGTTCTGTGGAGGTGGGGGAAGTGAACATCTGCCTTGGTGATGGAGGCTCCCATCTGACCTACATTGTAGGAGTTGTAGATCTGAACTCCAGAAGAAGGGTGGGCTGAGAAAGCGAACAGACCCCCTGCGACCTTTCCCCACCCGAAAGAAACAGGGGCAGGGATTCATCCTTCTAGCTGTGGTCTTAAGGAGCCAGGGACCCGAGCGATCCGTGCTGCGATCCCACAGGGCGCAGGCAGGTCAGAAGGGTGCCGGGGGCCAGGAGGAAAAGGCTGTAGCGCCTCCCCCAGCTGCATCCTGGCTCCGAGCCACTGGGTCTGAGGCCCTAATTCCTCCACTGGGCCTCAAGCCTACACCGAACCCCTCCACCTCTTCCTTCGGCCTCTTTGCCAGAATCGTGGCTGGCTCCTGCTCCCAAAGACAAATAACGCGGGCGGTGAGAGAAAATGAGAACAGTGCTGTCCAAACTCCCCAGTCAATATTTTTTCCACGCAAGCTGTTTAAAACATGCTGCTCTCTTGTTTTTGTGTTTCTTTTCAGCTTGGTACTGGAATGGTGCCGTCTGTTGTATTTTTTTCCTCCCATTTTTTTAGCTCTTTAGCATGCAAGAAGTAAAACAAGCAAAACTAGGACAAGCTTTAATCCTTCCAAACTGAATGGAGTGGCTACTTTACTTGTTGCAAAAAAGCCTCAACTGGCCTCCGTAGACCAAAGGCAGCAGGAGGGGACAGGGGTCTGAGAGTTCTTTCGTACAAAACTTAACGGGAAGTTTTCACTTACCCTTTTAGCATAGCACAAAACAATCTGAGGATAACTGCATATGATGACAACGAGTTCTGAAATGATACTTTTATAGGTCTGATTATTAAAACTGTAAAATTATTCAGAAATGTAGCAGGACATGGTGCGCACATCTACAATCCCAGCACCCTGGTAGGTTGAGGCGGAAGATCATAAGTTCGAGCCTAGCTTGCACAATTTAGAAAGACTGTATCTCAGAAAGAGGAGAGAGAGAGAGAGAGAGAGAGAGAGAGAGAGAGAGAGAGAGAGAGAGAACAAATGCAATTTAGGAGACAAACTTTTTTAAAAGCACAGGGCTCAGAGAAGTTAAACAGAGTAGATAAAGCTTTTGATAGTGGTGAAAGTATTGGAACCAATAGACCTGAACAGTTTTTCTCAAATTAGATCCATGGATGTATTCTCCAGGGTTTTAATGTTATAATATTTTTAGATTTGCATAAACATAGTCTGTGCTATTGGGATAACTATTTTATAAATCAGTCTTTTAGCATAGCACAATAATTATATTATTTTATAAATACACATGATTTCAGCACCTACATTTGAATGTGTTTCACTGCTGCTTCTGTAGTTCTAGAATAATGAGAAAAGAACATAGGTGGATTTAAAACAAAAAAGACGCTTCCATGCACAAAGTGAAAGCCAAATGATCATGGGACTGTGCTGTTTTAGTAGTGCTAAAAGAAGTGAGAAAAATAAGATATCACAGGCGTGTTCAAAAGATTCAGCAGGCTGTACCATAGTCACAATACAAGAGATGGCCTGGTGTGATGGTGCATGCCTGTAATCCCAGCACTTGGGAGGTTGGGGCAGGAGAATTGTCACAGGTATAAGGCCAGCTGAGTACATAGTGAGTTCAAGGCCAGCCTGCACTACAAAGGGAGACACTGTCTTTAAAAAGAATAAAAAGAAACTAATATGAAGGATGTTTTAGTTTTAGCAAGAGACATCATTTGTCTTGTTAAATTACCGCAATGCTAATTTGAATAGTATTAATCTTGTGGTTTTATTACATTTAATTTGTAAATCTGTTTTGGTTTTTTACCTGTAGAAGAACTATCCATAAAAGAACAGGGGCTTAGGGGTATTGTTTAGGGGTACAGCACTTGCCTACCATGTATAAGGCCCTGGGTTAGACCACTAGCACCACAAAAAGAAAATCACTGAAATATTAGAATAAGTAAATGAAAAAGAACATTATATGCCTACTTTATATTTGTAAAATTAAGTAACGTAATAATAATTTGAGGGTTTTCAGGATTCGTTTCCTTTAAAAATGGATCTATATAGGGCTGGGGATTTAGCTCAGCGGCACAGCTCCTGCCCGGTAAGTGCAAGGTCATGAGTTCGATTCGCAGTACCGGGAAAAAAAAAAAATTAAAAATGGATCTATATACTGCTCAAATTTGAGAGACAAGAAGGAGGTTTTTCAATTAGTACTTTACCAGTTAGAAGATCAGAGGGGGTTTCTACTAGCATGGAAAGGACAAATCTGTTCCTTTCTACTTTATGTAAAAAGTCTTCAGAAATGCTAAAGAACGCAAGCACAGAGAGAAGCACACTAACTCAGCTCCACCTGTGTATATATCATAATCTGGATATTCACTCAGCCTTAGAAGAGCCTTGAGATGCTGACAAAGACTGGTACACTGAGGCTAAGCTATTTTGTTTAAAAGTCAGATAGATCTGCCTACCCAAGCACAATGAATCGGAGACCTAAGGAATAACTATGATTAAATATGAAATCACAAGCTGAGAAAATAGGCCTCAGAAAATTGCCTGGTTTGAGTCATCAAGGCCGGACTTCAGTTCCCATCTCGGTCACTGACTCATAGGGATCCGCCTCTCCACAGGCCCCAGTGGCACTGTCCACCCCCTCACTCCCAATAAAACACAGCTAATCACCTCTGGCCCTGCTCTAGTTACTGTGATGCTGTGGGAATTAAACAGGTAATACATATGGAGATGCCAATAAATCCTTCAATAAAGAAAATGATTACAACAGACTGCAACAGAAAGACTTTCAGAAACTGGGCCAAACTGTAAGGCAGGCTTTTCAGGAGTATGGTTTGGTGACCGTGTGAAACACCCAATATGTCTTTTAAAAATGCAGATTCCTGGGGCTGGAGGTGTAGGTCAGCGGTAGAACATAGATGAAGTATGCATAGGTTTTCTCCAGGGTCGACAAATAAAAAATGCAGATTCCTGGCCTCTACGCAGACCTACTGAATCATAGTCCCTTAAGAATGGAGCCAGATGAGTTATAGTCTCCCTGGTGCTTCTAATGTGTCAGACATTTGAAAGGCATTGATGTAAAAGGTTCATCTGTAAAAACAATTTCCGTATCAGTAAATAAGCATCTGCTCAGGTAGGATCTAAAGAGTCTTTGAAGGCAAACTCTGGCCAGCAAAAGCAAATGACAGCTTTAGCTTGTTATCAATAAGCAGTTCTGTGCCTATCCCTTGTGGGTTTTCCCAGATTAAAAAGATGGTCCCTCTTTTGCTGGGTTTCTGGGAGTTACCCAAGCACTACCAATACAGTGCTGTGGCCGTGAGTTATCTCCATATCCTTCTCTCCTCTCTGTTGCTCCCTCCGGTCTCCTCTCCACTTCCCACACATACCACAAGAAACAAATGACTGGGCCAGGGATATAGCTCAGTGGTACAAGCACCTACCTGGCAAACACAAGGTCCTGAGTTCAATTCCTGGTACAAAAAAAAAAAAAAAAAAAAACTGGTGAACTCCAGAGCCAAACACTGAGATCAGTCTGAGGATTAAAGGCAGCCCTTAGGAAATGAGATTCTCAGCACAAAAGCACAGAGTTCTGCCAGGCATGGTGGTGCACCTATAACCCTAGCAATCAGGAGGCTGAGGCCAGGAGGATCATTATGAGTTTAAGACCAGCCTGGGCTATATATGAGTTCAAGGCCAGCCTGAGGTGCATAGTGAGATCTTGTCTCAAAAAAAAAAAAAAAAAAAAAAATCACAGAGTTCTATAGTTCATTCATTCAGTGTGAATCACGGAAACAGGGTTAGACTTGCCCAGTTCCTGCAAGCAAAAGTATCAAAAATATAGGAAAGCCCAAGAATACAGAATCACAGCCATTAACTCTTGTGCTTATAACAGCTCTAATTATCACAGCAGAAAAGGGTCAGTCCTGGAATTCTGTCACCCTCTGTGTTGCTCACAGCTACAGAGACTGACAAAATAGGCCTCGTGCAAATGCTGATCTGATCCGCAGAATCACCCACTGGGAGAGAAGGTCAAGTGTGAGACGTGTAAGTCGTTCTCCCAAAATGTTGTCCCATTTAAAGAGCCAGCAAGAGAGCGGTGGATGGCCCAGGCCATGGAAAGAAAACCTGTGGCACATACAGGTGTTTTCCAACTATAATCCTCCCTTGGGATCTACAGGGGATTGGTTGTAGGACCACCCCCACCTACCAAAATCCAAAGATGCCCAAGTCACTGCTATAAAATGGCATCATATTTGCCTATAACCCATGTATATCCTCCTGTATACTTTAAATCTTCTCTACATTATTTATAATGTCTAATACAATGTCAGTGCTAGGTAAAGAGTTATGCTGTATTGCTTAGAGAATTATGACAAGGAAAAAAGTCTGTATATGTTCAGTGAAGATACTTTTTTGTTTGTTTTGTTTTGGTTTTTGAGACAGGGTCTTACTGCGTAGTTCGGGCTGACCTTGAACTAACTATGTAGCCCGGATGGGCCTGGATCTCACAGCAATCTCCTGTCTCAGCCTCCCGAGTACTGGGATTACAGCTAGGTGCCACCACACCTGAAAATATAGATACTTTTTTTAAAAAATGCTTCCTTTCATGTAACTTAAATCCATGAATGCAGAATCTGTGGGTAAAGAGGAACAAACTGTATCATCTTTTAGCAAGATGACCTCCGTAAACTGATTCTAGGACTGTATTATCCTTTGCAAAGCAGTAATTATCACTGTGACATTGATGACAAATTTGTGTTTATATAGTATCATCATTCTGTAGGACGCAATATTTTCCCTTTAAGTCACCTCAATATTTTTGCCTTCTTTCCTTCTTATTTATTTGTTTATAGTTTGGTGGTACTGGGGAGTCTTCAAATGTTACCATTAATGGTAACTATCTACTGAAGAAGTAGAAGCAGATAGGAAAAGATTCCAGTCACTGAGTTTTGGCAACAGGGAGGGCCAACCTGAAAGCATGAGAGGGTACCTGGCTTAGGAGACCTGCTTTGTACCTTCAAGATCTTTCCTTTCCTTTCCTTTCCTTTCCTTTCCTTTCCTTTCCTTTCCTTTCCTTTCCTTTCCTTTCCTTTCCTTTCCTCTCCTCTCCTCTCCTC